TATATATATATATATATATATATATATATATATATATATATATATATATATATATATATATATATATATAATTAGATTCAGAATATTTAATTTTTTATTTATAACTTTTATTAAGGTCTTTTTAAGTCTTTTATAATTTTTTTCGTATCACTAACATTAATTATTTCACATTATATTTTTTCAATATATATTCATACCATTTTAAATAATTTTTTCTCATCTTATTTTTTTTATCAAAATGGTACCTAATTATTCACAAATAAAAATATTCTTTTTCTCACTACTCCACACATCAACTTTTATATATGTTTTTTCTTAATTGTCCAGCACCATAAAGTATTATTGGATTATTAATCTCTAAAAATCTTATCATAGGATTTCTTTAAGTCAATAAAAATTATATATAATTTTTATTTCTCCATATGCTTTTTCATTAATTATCTAAATAAACAAATAGTTTATATGGTTGATCTTTATGCATAAAAATAAAAATTAATTTTTAGAGATGTTTACTTCAAGTCTTATTCTATTTTTTTATGTCTTGTTTCCAAAAGTTACATAGCTCATGATTTTAATATTTTTATAATTTAAATAATTTTATATGTCATCTTAATTTTTATAAATTTATATTAAAAATTATCTTTATTTATCGAATATCCTTTTGAATCTCATAATTTTATTAAATAAACTAATTAATCATGCTACTCGCTTATTCCATAATTTTTTCCAAACCTCGATAAGGACACACCCTTTGATTTTTTTATCTTTTATAATACATCTTTTATTTCATTAATTTTAATTTTATGAATAAATTCATGATTATTAAATCTACCACTATTATTCATTGTTAAATCTAAATTTTATGTGTAGTATTTATTAAATAATTTATAAAAATAATTTTTATCTTTTTTTAATCTCATTATCATTAACAAGTACTATTTGATCTTTATTTTTAATATATCTAATATTACCTAAATTCTGGCACTTTCTTTTCATAACTTTAGTAATTCGATATATATCTTTTTCACCATACCCAATTTATTATAAAAATTATTATATTTTATATCTTATCTACTAATCATTTTTAACCTCTTTTTTAGATTCTTTATTTTTTTTCCTTATTTTTATAATTTTATTAATCTTTAAAATATGATCTTTTAATAAAAATTATTTTTTGAACTTCCTAGTACCATCATCAATCTCTCTCTTAAGATTACATCTCTATATTTAATTGAATTATCTTTGTTAAGCTCCTAATCCTTATCTAAGTTTCAAATCGTATCTATTTTCATCTTATTATTAGAAAATATTTATATTATCATCTTTAAAATATCATCATCTAGTCCAAATAATTTTTCTACTATATTTATATCTTTCATTTTCTATAGTAAATATCTAATACATCAACTTAAGTAAATTCGTATATAATCTTATAATTCTTGTAATTAACTTTATCTACATGAGTAATTAAATATTTATATCTTATCTTAAAATGAGTATTTATAATTATAAAATCATATAAAGTTACAAAATATAAAATTATACCTATCTTCGTTTCTCTCTCCATAACAAAAGTCCTCGTGTATCCCTTTATATTCATAATATGTTTTCCTTGCATAACTATTAAAATCTCATCCGATTATAATTTTTTTAGTTATAGACATTCTTTATTATTTAATTTTTTTAAGATTTTTTTATTTTGATCATCCAATCCAATAAAGCATAAGTACTAATGATACTCAAAATATTTTATCCTTTCACAAATTTTAGAATTATAATTTCATCTTTAAATATTTTTACACCTATAATATTGTTCTTATCATCCTTATCAACAGTAATTCTATATCATTTATATGTTTAACATTTTCAGTATATCAAATTTTAAATCTAATATTATTAATCCCTTTAGATTTTTTTTCATATCTACTTAATGTATTATAAGCAAATAATATTTATTATTTTTCTGATCATAATAACTACCGATTCTAATATCTTTCCAGAAAGTATTTCTATTTTCTAAGTTGCTAACCTAATTTTTTATTCCTATTGATCTAATTTCTTTACTCCTATTGATCTAAAATAATGATAGAACCCTTACCTACTTGGCATCACATCCAATGTCAATGTGATGGGGCAACTTTCTGATGACCTTCTAGTCTACTATTTAAGACTCACTAGATGGTGAAAGTGCCTCACTTCATTTTCGGATAATGACATAACTTTATATTAAAATCGATTAACATTTATGTTAATTTTATGTTAATTATTAGTGATCTAACACAACTCAGCCATCCTTTTCATCTTATGTTAGGGATTGACGTTGATAGTGTTTGGTAACATGGTGCTCTTAAGAGAAAAAAAAATTAACAGTATTTTTCTTGGTAACACATGCTCTAAGAAAAAAATATATATATCAATTTTATAAATATCATAGATACCCATGTAGATGTACTGCAAAGTATTCATACAAATTTTATAGCATTTTAACTAATCCTTGTATTAGATACACTACATTTTATCTTACCCAAAAATTTCACATGATTTTGACTAATCCTTGTATCAGATATATTATTTTTTTATTTCACCCCAAAATACTTTATTAGATACCAGGGCCTATCTTTTATGAATCAAAATTTTATCCTAATTTTCTCACATATTTAGAAACTCAAATAAAAAAAAATATTGTATGGATCCATCATATTTTGAAAACAAAAAAAATGAAGAAAATAAAAAATAGTTAATATGCTTAATAAAAAAAAATGTAAAATAGAAAAATTATCATAAAAGTCCATTGGGGTATAATGCAAAGCTTGCATGAAAAATTTGTAATATTTTGTCCATTCATCGTATCAGATACATTATTTTTTTATTTCATCCAAAAAATAGTGTATCAGATACCAGAACCTTTTTTTTGTGGATCAAATTTGTATCCTAGGTTTCTCAATTATTTAAAAATATCATATTTCAGTTTTCTAAAAAATATAAAAAAAATATTATATTATTTTTTAAAATTTATTATTATTGTTATTTTTTTATTATTATGCTAAATAATTGAGATACCACCTTTTTTAATAATTTATTATAATTTTAGAGGTTTATCTATTATTTTTAGTATATAAATCGATATAGTTGTAAATTATTTAATATAATTATTTAATATGAAGATTATACATATTTTTTGTATAAATTTAACTTTTTAAAGGTCAAAATTAGTAAATAAATTATTTTTAAAAACTTGAAAATAAAAAATAATGGTCATATAGACCTTTCAAATTTATTTTAAAGTTTCTTAAATATTTTTTATTTTTTTAAAAAATATATTATTATTTATTATTAGAAAACATAGTTTTAAATTATTATTTATATTTTTTAAATAGTTATATATATTTATTATTTTTAATAATATAAATTGATATATATTAGTAAATTATTTAATATAATTTATTTTAAATCGGTTTAACTGTTTGTACGTGTTGATTTATTTAAAAGGTAGGGAAATAATATGTAGCTTTTTAGGAGAAAAGGACAAAAGTTATTGAAGGGTTATTTTGTTATTTTGAAAAGTTATTGTTTCCTATGAATATTTTTGAAAGATGGACGTTCCATGAATTAAATTTATCAAAAAATATATATTTTATAGATTTTTTTACGAGAATTCATCTCCCCGAAAATAAGAATAAGTTTTGAATGTGATCGGTAATAAAACTATTTTAGTAACCAAGTTACTACTAATGTTACGTGATAGGAGTTGATCCATAGCATTTGAAACCCCTATATTAGAATAAAAATTGATACTAACAATCCGTAAGGATAAAAAAAGAAAAAGAAAAAGAAACAGGGATAAAAAAAAAAATTGGTAAAATGAAAGGCTACCCAATTATTTCTTGATTGCATATAATTTGGTGATGCTAATTATGTTGTGTTGCCCCCTTTGGCCAAAATGTGACATCGAATTCATCTAATTTAACGTTCGGAGATATTGCTTTTATATCAATTCTGCTCTTTTAGGTTTGAAGATTAAGCTCCGAAACTACAGCAGATTGCTAATCGGATATCGGTGTTAAACATCTTTGTGTTAAGCCGATATTAGTAAGCAGATTATTAGAACTTCGCTTGGGTTTGCAATTTATATGAACTTAAGCTAATCCGTTTCGAGATTAGTGCGATTCGTTCGAAGACTTGAAATAAACCACGCTATCACTTCATATCGATCGGACAAACTGACCACCCATGAAACTTTTCCGGGGTGATGTGGTCTCCGAGTACCGCTGTTACGGGGCCCAAGTTTCTGCGGGCCCCACGGCATCACCGATAGGTCTCTCTCTCCGCGATCGATTCCAAGTCGAGGGTTAAGGGCAGGGCGGAATCCCAGGAGCCAGCCACCCGAGGGCGAAGGAGGGAGTCGAGGTTCGGCGGTGATTACAAAGATTTGTCGTTGGTTTATCGTTCTCTTTCCATGTATTTGGGTAAAAATTGGATTTTGGCGGAAAAGAAAAGATTCGTTCTTGGTTTGCTGAATGCTACAGGATGTTTCGTGTGGAATCTGTACAAGAAATACTCTTTTTGTTCACGTTATTTTTTCTCTTCGGAATGTGTTGCAACCGAGCGGAGATTAAAGCTCGGCTGGTCGGCGCTGGTATGTCTGTCGGGGCAAAGAGCCTGCTATGTATATGCTTTGCTCAAAAATCATATCTTTCTTATACATATTCCACACGAAACATCCTAATAGAGTGATGTACAGAAGAAGTACATAGTTGGGAAAGAGATTTTTTTTTCTCGGAAAGTGTTTGTTCTTTGTTGTTGCTTTTCTTCTTTTATTGTCATAAAGTGAGGCAAAGCCTTTAAGAAAAGATTCAGTTAAGAACGGTAGATGGATATATACAATGGCTAAAAAACTTTTATCTTTCACGTGCATAGACCTACTTGCAACTTCCATTTCTTATTTGGTGTTTGCTTTTCTTTAAACTGACTCATTCAACATAACTTAGATCTTTGGGGCAAGTTTTAGAGTGTTTAGATTAGCAGTGTAATCCAGTTGCCTACATCGGTAGTTCAATGTGTGTATATATGATTTGAAGGTGCAGTTGTGTGCATTTGATAGAGAAAATGATGAAAATTTAGATGGAGTTGCAGGCCACATGGTTATATTTTAGAAGCTTTAATCCTTTTCACTTATGTTCGGTTAGCCTCTTTTTCTGTATACTGGTTTTGTATCAAGTGGAATATGGAAAATGCGGTTTATCAGGTTGTTTGAAATGTTTATCTAAATGGAATGTGTTTGAGATACTGTGGACTAACTGCGAGTTCTAGCTGTTCCATTCTGTGGTGGCCAAGTGCTGCCATTAGGTGCTCATCGAGATCAATGATATGACAAAATTGGCATTTTACTAGGGTTGATTCGAATTTGAGTGTAAATCAGTTTCTCATCCACCAAATTATTTGAGGCATTGAACAAAGTTCAGACTTGCTAGTGTATAATTGGTGATGTTCCCTGATTCAACGAATCTTATCAAGAAACTAAAATAAGTAGTTCTAGTGAAAAGGCTTTACTCATTTGATCCATGTGATGCTACTCTACCATAATGGTTCCTGTAGTAGCAGTTGTAGTTGATCAAAGAGGCCTTTAGTCTCTCACATACTTGATTTTTGTTATTCAAACTTGCTAAAACATTCTATACACTGTCAGCTTTAACATATTCTAGCCAGGGTGATAAGAATTTCCTGATTTAGCAAGTGCTAGAATGCTAGAATTGGAGAATCAATTGTCAGGTGATTCACTCATCTTCTTTATCATGGGATCTAGCTTCGACCTAGTTTTACTAGTTTCCTACAAGTCACACCTTTAAGCTTGATATGCATCTCAGGAGTTAGATGATGTCAGAGGCTCAGAGCAGAATATAGACCAGCATATACAAAAATTAAAAAAATTGTGTAAACAACTGAGAGAATCTAGTCTGTCATTGATAATTGACCCAAGCATTAGAACTGGAGAGTTGACTACAGTCTTGTGTACTATTCCAATTCAACGAACACAAAATGAATCTTTCCAATGGTAAAAGTGGTTCAAACTGAAATAATTCATCAGAAACTGAGTGACAAGGGAAGCAGATCAGTAGCTAAATTAGACAGTTGATAAGCTGACTTCAATGCACCCAACAGATAAATCTGGGGAAGAATCACATCTTCCTGAGCAAGTAACGTGCATGTCTGATAAGCAGTAACTTTAAAGAGAAGAATGATGCTTTAGTATCATGCTGATATTTTGATAAAAAATAGTAAGTAGACTTTTTTTCTCATAGATTACATGATGATTCTATGGTCTACCATTGCCCACATTTTTTATGGTGAGAAGTTCTTGCCCGATGTGCCATCATGTTATGTATCTTTGATTACTATTTATATATCATTTATATGTTTTCAAATAAAATATCGATAAAACGGTGATGATGCTAATGATGTGGAAATTATGAATGCACCATGTGTATATATACAAAAGATATAAAGGTAGTATTGCTGATGTAGGGCTGTAATCTTGCTGGCACATGCAGGTGCTTGGTTTGTTTATTTGTGCATATGAGAACATATCTCGATGAAGAAATACAAATGTAAGATCAGAACAACTAACATCCCTTCCATCCAATCTCGACGAGCCAGAGTTCAACTCTTTCGAACGGGAAGCAAAGGAAGCAGACTATCAGACTCATTTGGATTTCTCATTTGTGGCACTCTCTGTAGCTTCACCTGAGGTCTGTACTTTTAACCGACTCCAAGACTGATAGAACTTCATAATTTAGTTATACCTGATGTTGCTATTTCTCTTTGAGCAGATCTGTTTAACTGGTCATCTTCTTTCTCTTTGTGACAGTGTTTATGTACATCTAGCTCAATTTTGCAGTTCCTCAGAATTGTTGTGACAGTTTTTATTTCTTGTTTTTGTGTTTTATCTTTTCCTCCTTGTCACAAGTCAAGGATTTCTAGGCAAGGGACACACTAAGCTCTTCCTTGTATCTTCTCTAGCTTGACCTGCTGTTCCAGTGCCATCTGCTTTCAGTTTTCTATTGTTCATTCATTCCTTCTATTACTGACAAAGTTGGTTCATGGTCCTCTGGATTTTCCATACAAGACAAGAAGCACTTTCCTAATGTCTCCAGCATCAGTGGTGGTAATGATGGAGAATCCTAATAACTTCTGAGTGGTAAAAGTAGATGGCCGAAACCTCTCATCCATCTTAGAGAAGGGAAGGGTTAAGATTCAGGAGAAATTTAGATGACCTCTCGTCCTCAAAAGTTCAGAAAGCTCTGTTACCTATCTTGTCATTCCTAGCATTCTGGAAGCTCTTTCCACAGCACAAAAGCCTTTTGTCATCTTCAAGAGCACTGAAAAGCCACAAAGGATGGGAACGTTACTGATATTTTTTATAAATTTTTACATTGTTTCTGTCATGGCATTGCTGTTTGAAATATATGAGGATAAGAATGAATTGCATCTAATTCACCCTCCAGAGGATATGATTTAGCATGACAGGCGTATTCTGGTCTAGCTTTCAGTCAGCAGAATATATTGCTCCATTGGTCATTGCTCTCTCGAAGTTCTGAACTATTATTTTCTTGAATCAAACCCCGGATCGGTTCATCCTCTACTTTTGGTGTTTGTGGATCAAGTTTGAGAACCTCTGACCGAGATCATGGGGCAATAAATATAGTAAATAGGATTCTTCATGCTACTCAATGGTTCTAGTTCAGAATCCCATATGCAATGAGTGAGAGAGAGAGAGGTAAGATAAACACCATTTCATTATCACTACATCCAATATACTTTTGCTACTGAATGATCATTTTTTCATGAATGAAGTCCAATGTCACATGCCAAGTTTCTTATATGTGACAAAGCATACTGATCATTTCTATCACTTCTTCATGAGCGTATCTTATTTTGTGATAAGTTTATATCAGGCATTTCTAAAATGCATTTAAATGTTGCTGCTAAATCGTCTTGCCTCCCTTAGACTCTTGTTGTATGGTTTCTAGGCTTCTGAGCAATCCATATCTGCTGCGTGCCAGTTAGATTGGCCAAAGACAAGTGCTTAGTTAGAATGTGCAGCAGCTCCTAATCAGAAATGGAGTGTGCCTATGGAAACAGAAAAAGTCAAATTTAGTCGGTTCCAAATAATTGGGACATATGAGTTTATTGTTGTAGTTGTTGTCATCTTCTATACAGATATGCAAAAGTTGAAAACCTGAATTCTATCATGTCCTGTGATTACGCCTGAGGTCTCCAAATTTGTCACCTTCTTTTGTATGGATTTCCAGCCAAATCTTTAGTTCCTTGGGATAATAGTACGTACGTCATTTCAAGGTAATGTCTCCATATGTTTGTGTCTAGCTCATGATCGGCATTCATTCATTGTTAACATTGTTCTCTTATTACTATCTAGATGGTCCTCTGTGAACAAAGAAGACAGCTCAGCTCCCGGAGCTTCAAAACATCCATCTTGTCATCCATTTCTAGGTAGAGCAGCAGATAAATGGTGTGTTCTTCAACTTCTTTGGATTTGATGGAACATATGGAATGTGCGGGATCAAAGCTGTGGAGGACTCCAGTGGCAGGCTTGAGAGGACCACTGTTGAGGACATGGACATGGCAGTCCGAGCTGATGCAAATAGTACAAGTTCATCCTTGAATTCATCTTTTTGATGGGCTTCACTCTGTAAACTCATTATTGGCAAAGTATGTTTTAACATTCTGATGTCATCAAGAATAGAAAAGGAAAATTGTGTACTGCCTCTTAAATTCTTCTGCCCTGATAGAGAGTGTGAAGAATGTTGAAATGCATGCTTCCTGCTAATTATTCACCACAAAATTCTCCAAATGTACAAGTGAAATGAAAACAAGCTCATGTTTCATTTTGAATACTAAATAATGTATGCAGAGAAGTTCATTTGGAACCATTTATAAAGCCATACATCAAAAGGGTGTTTACTAATCTAATATGATATACCTATTAATAAGAGTCACCAACTATAAAACCAGTGTCACTACACCTAAACCAGCTCAAAAAGTCCATCTCTCTCTCTCTCTCTGTGTTCCGGGTTATTTATGGGCTAGTAATGAATCTGTTTTGGAGATTTCAACAACGAGAGGACATTGAAGGTGAAGCACCATGTATTATGGACCTGATCAAGAATCCTCCACTGTTCATCATTTCTTTTCTTTTATTTGAATAGACCTGATAAAGTTTATATATATATATATATATATATATATATATATATATATATATATATATATATATATATATATATATATATATATATAT